GCTGAGGAATCAAACCCAGGGCCTCATGCATGCGAGGCAAACACTCTACCACTGAGCCAACTTCCTAGCCCAGAAAGATGTTTTTAAATGTGTTTGAGATGGGATATTGTTGTATTGCCCAGGCTGACCCTGAACTCCTGGATTCAAGCAATCCTGCCACAACCTTCTGAGTAGATGGGATTACAGGCATGTGCCATTACACCAGGCTTAAGTAAGAGAAATTTAGTGATGCCCATTAGAAGTTACCAGCATTTCACTGGAACACAGGTGCTAGGTCATGGGGCTTCCCTCATCCAGGGATGCCTGGACAAAGTGTGGGGGGGGAAGCTCCTCAGTCTGGCAGAGGTGGGGGAGAGCAGGGCAGGGCCTTCCTCACCCAGGGACACCAGGCTTCTGTAGTTGTCCAGCATCACCTTCCGGTACAGGCTCCTCTGCGTGGGGTTCAGACATTCCCACTCCGCTTGGGTGAAGCTCACAGATACATCCCCAAACGTCACCAAGTCCTGAAATGACAGAGCCCATTCTTTCTCAGCCGGTGTTCCCACCCTCCAGGGGACCTCGGTTACAAGTTAGGGTCAGCTTGTCTACCCTTCACCAGAAAAAGGCTGTGCGCAGCACACGTTTCCAGCAACGTTTTTTTGTTTGGTTTTGAGATGGGCCCTTCTATCTATCCCAAACGTGCCTTGAGCTTACAGTCCTCCTGCTGCCTGCTGCATCCTCCCGAGGGCTGGAATTACAGATGGGGACCACCTTACCAGGCCCTGCATGCATGACAGACTGAGAGCTGCCTGTGCAGCAACTGCTCTGACATCCCACCATGGAAAGTGTGGGGTGGCGGAGACAATCTCCACCAGTGGAGAAAAGATGAACAACACATCTACACACAGCAAACCATGTCACGCCCTAACTCACAACCCAGCAAATAGAAATAACAGCTACTCAGACCAAAGGCGAGACATTCCCACCTCCCTACCACCAGCACCTACAGCACCTATGTCACCTGTCCTGTGGTGATGTGGAGGGTGAGCAGCCAGGACAAGATACCATCATCTTCATGCCATTAGCACTGTATGAGCCTAGACCTGCGCTCTCCAGTGTGAGATTAGGTACACACGTGGCCGTGCAAACATGGACCGGTCAGCATTCAAATCCAGCTTCTCTGTCAGCCACCATTGCACAACGCACAATGCACACTGGCAGAGACAGGAGCCAGTGTCAGGTTCCTGAATCTGGCTCCCTCCCTCTTTGCGCTTAATCTAGCACTTTATGGTCTGTACATTTAACCCACAGAAAATCTCTTAAGTGGGAGGATAAATGTTTTTTTGAGTAACTAGTCCATCTTTTCTTGACTGATTTTAAGCTGTACCAATACACAATCATAAAGGAAGCAAGCCTTTGAAGAGGAAAGAGACTCCATGTTTATATACTGCAGTGCTTAGCAAAGACTTCAATGAATGGGGCAATGTGTTCCATTCTTAGGGAATTCTTAAGCTTTTCATTTGTTCCCTCTGGCTCCCATTTCACACTGTTTACCATTTTAGTTATTAGAGAACTTTGTAGTAGTTGTTGTTTTTGGTTGGTCATGGTTCTTGAACTCTGGGCCTGGGTGCTGTCCCTCAGTTCTTCAGCTCAAGGCTAGTGCTCTACCACTTGAGCCACAGTACCACTTCCAGTTTTCTGGTGGTTCATTGGAGATAAGAGTCTCAGGGAGGGCTGGGAAGGTGGCTCAGTGGTAGAGTGCTTGCCTTGCATGCCTGAAGCCCTGGGTTTGATTCCTCAGCACCACATAAGCAAAAAGAAAAAAGCAGAAGTGGTGCTGTGGCTCAAGCGGTAGAGCGCTAGCCTTGAGCTGAAGAGCTGAGGGACAGCATCCAGGCCCAGAGTTCAGGCCCCACAACCGGACCCCCCCCCAAAAAAAAAAGAGTCTCAGGGACTTTCCTGCTCAGGCTGGTTTTAAACCGTGATTCTCTGATCTCAGCCTCCTGAGTAGCTGGGGTGACAGGCGTGAGACACCAGCACCTGGCAAGATCTTTGTAGTTTTTTTAAGTATAGATTCAAATGCTTTATTACTTTCCTTTTCAAAAAGCCTCCTATTTTTCCACATTATTTCTACTAATCTCACCTTGATTAATCAGAATAGCATAGCTGGGGCCTGCTATCCACTCAGGACAGACATAGTGAGACCTCATGGTCCCTGCCAGGTCTCCTAGCATACAGCATGTTTAGGAACACCCCTTTCTCCCCCTTTGCTGACTGGAAATGGCTCAAGACCCCCTGTCCAGGAGTGCTGGCCACAGGCATTCAGTGACTAACACTGCCCACACCAATCTGGCTCAGTTCAACGAAGGCAACTCCTATCATCTATCCTACCATGGGAACCATTCTTAAGAACTAACAGAATGCCCAGCCCACAGGAGGGGAAAAGATGAAAACTACTGTCTAGGGAAAGGGAGGCTTTGGGGAGTTTTGTTTTTGTTTTTCCTGGCATGGAGAACACGAGGAGCAAGTCAATACAGACACAGATTTTGTTAGGCTGGGGAATTGTGGGAAAAAACCCAAAACTGTTTGTTTAAATGTGAACAAGGCGACAGTACTTCATTACCTTGGACATGGCTTGATGACTGACTATGTGTGGCAGCTCTCCTGTGCCCCTTTAAGCTCCTCTCCAGGAGAAGGGCCGTGTCCTGAGGAAACAGCCGAGTAAAGAGAGAGAAACCAACCATGCCGCCCGCCACACAGCACAGCATGTTCACCACCGGCCCAGGAACCTGCCTTCCCTGCGCCAGCCAGGTAGACCGGAAGTAGCACTGAACGAAGTCACTGAGGGATTTTACAGTGTGTTTCCCATGTGCTTTATATCTTAAGAATACAATATGCGGGGCTGGGAAGGTGGCTCAGTGGTAGAGTGCTTGCCTTGCATGCCTGAGGCCCTGGGTTCGATTCCTCAGCACCACATAAGCAAAAAGAAAAAAGCTGGAAGTGGCGCTGTGACTCAAGTGGTAGAGCGCTTGCCTTGAGCTGAAGAGCTGAGGGACAGCGCCCAGGCCCAGAGTTCAAGCCCCACGACCGACCAAAAAAAAAAAAAAGAACCTCTCTGACTTTGCTTGCCTGAGGTGGCTTGAATTGCATACCTCAGGTCTCAGCCTTCTGAGTTGCTAGGACTACAGATGTGTATGAGCCACTGGCACCTGGCGTTCATTTAGCTTTTAAATTTTTATCCTAGAGCTGGGCATGAGTTGGGTCTTCAGGAAAGAGTAAAAGAGAGGTAGATGACCAGTTACCTGGCCCTTTCCTTTGCTGCTTGCTCATGTATGGCTCATTTGTTCTCTTTAGCACAATGCCCCTTCCTGTAGTGCCCTCCCCAGCCTCTTCCCTCTTCCCTCTGCCAGCCTTGTCCTGAACTTGTGGTATTCTGAGCTGCTGTTTCAGGGTGCTGAACTGTTCAGGGATATGGCCATCATTTCCTCCCAGGAAGAATGGGAGTGCCCAGAGCTGCCTCAGCGGGTTTGTACAAGGATGTGATGCTGGAGACCTACAGGAACCTGATTTCTCTGGACGGGATGCTCTGCTCACATCGTTGGGCATTTCCTCTGGCCAGTTAGTGGCTGCTTTTCAGTTTGTAACCAGCTGGTCATTTTTGAAGGAATTAAGAGCTGGCCACTGGCCAAAGCTTTGTCTTCTCTGACTCTCAGGTCCTAACTGTGTCTTCCTTTGTCCTTCTCCACGACTAAGCTCTGGATTGGGCCTTACAATCTTCAAGCCTGATGTGATCTTCCTGGAGCAAGGCAGGATGCCCTGGACAGAGGAATGGGCAGCCACAGGAGGCCTGGGCCCAGGTGAGTGAGACATCTGTGGAGAGAGCAGCCTGCCTCTCCTCCCTCTTTGCTTTCTACCATCCTTTCCTCCCTCCCTTCTTCCCTCCCCTCTCATAATGAGATTTTACCTTAGGGCCTACTACTTGCTAAGCAGTTGCTCCCTCTCTCCATCCTCTCCTTTTTGTTGCATTTCAGTGTTGGAGTTGGGCTGTGGTATCAAAGTCTCATTTCCAAAGCATCCTATTTGTGCAGTTGCTCTGCCCCAGTGGGACATAATGGAAAGCCTTACGAGTTTCAGCGTGGAGTTCCCACATTTCCAGGATGACTGGGAATGCTGAAGCCCATGTGAAAGCCAGCCAGGAAATCCAGACAGACCTTTCAGCCAGATAGCACCCAGACATGAAGATTTGCCTGCTTTTACCCCACCAGCAACCCTTGCTTTTTGTCTGAAAACTCACATTGGAGGAAAACCTTCTGGATACAGCGAATTCAGGAAAGACTTCTGGGGAGAGGAGTTCCTCCTGGATCCTCAAGGAATTCATTGTGGTAGAAAACCCTGTAAGTGCAAGGAATGTGGGAAAGCCTTTAAGCACAGCTCGTGATTAATTCAGCATGAGAACATCCACTCTGTCAAGAAGCCCTGTGAATGTAAGGAGTGTGACAAAGCCTTCAATTCTGGCTTGGACTTTGTACATCACCCACAAGTTCACACTGGGGAGAAGCTCTACGTGTGGACATCATGTGCCAAGGCCTTCAGCTGCAGCTCACAGTTGCTGAAGCACTGGTGGATTCACACGGGGGAGAAGCCCTATGTGTGCATGGCATGTGCCAAAGCCTTCAACCACATCTCACACCTGCAGGTGCACCGGTGGGTTCACACCGAAGAGAAGCCCTACAAGTGCCAGGAGTGTGGGAAGACCTTCGCTCCCCGGTCCCAGCTGATGAAGCACCAGACTGTACCCATAGGCAAGAAACCTCACGAGGGCAGGGAGTGCAGGAAGGCTTTCAGCCAGGGCTCCATGTTCATCCAACACTAGGGAATCCACATGGGAGAGAGCCCCTACCAGTGCCAGCTGTGCAGCCGGACCTTCTCACATGTCTCTCACCTTATGGTACATTCCAGACTCCACACAGGCAAGAAGCGGCACGCATTCCAGGAGTGGGGGGAAGGCATCCGGTCATCACTCTACGCTGCTTCAGCCTCAGCCAACTCCTGACGAGGAGGCATGCCACAAATATGAGGAGTGTGGAAGGCCCTGGAGTCAGGATTCCGCCACCGCTCAGCATCAGAGACTGCGCACTAGAGAGGCACATGTGAATGTAGTGGGCATAGAGAAACCTGCCCTTCAGCGTTCACCCTCTGCTGATCCTCAGAGAACTCACATTGGCAGGCAACCATAGGAATGGAGTCACTGGGAAGAGCCACGTGGCTTAGGCCAGTGTGGCCCCCAGTGCGTTTGGGGAAATGCTGAGGTTGGATGTCTCCTGGCAGGGCTCCTTTACCCCCACTGGCACAACCATGTGAACCTGGTGTGGAGACGCTAGACAGGGAGACTATGGGAAGACATTGTCTAACACATTGCAGAACCATGTTTTCTAGTCACCATTTACTAATTCTTACAAGAGTTACTTTGTGTTTTCTTAAAAAAGTAAAATAAATAAAAAGCCCAGTTACTCTTGAGTTCACAAGGAAGGAAATCCTACAGATTCCCTGAGTGGGAATGAAGGAATGCACTGAGTTTCCGGTGCCAGGGGAGGGAAGATGCAGGGCAGGACTCACCATGGGCACTCAACGGTCTCTTTATAAATGGAACCCTTAGCTATACCAGGTGCTCAGGGCTCCCAGGTCTGGGCCATAGAAGCATGAATCAAAACAACACACCAGAGGGACTGCAGGTGAGCATTTCTACATGTTTTCTAGTTAGCAGCTGAATTTCTATTTTGTAACTTCAGCATCTGGAACGAACAGTCCATACATACTCACGGCCATAACCTGAAGGTGTAAAGGTCTTCCTAGCCTCAGCCCCGTCTTAACCGCAGTCCTTATTTCTTCCCTTTGCAGAAGCAACCTAAGTTGGCACGGTCCCTACTTTGGTTGCCCGCTTTCCTTCCTGACAGCATCGCATCTAGCTTTAGCATCAGAGCTGGTCAGTCTCCTCTTCCACCGGCCTCCTGCTCAGGAAGTCTCAGGATTGGCCACTTGACCCTGGTGGAGATTGGGGAAGATGGTTCCTCCCTCCCTCCCCACTTCCTCCTGGAAGTGCTTGGTGAGAGCAGAGTTCCTATGGCTGGCTTGGAGCTCCAGGAGAAGCTGGCTGTAAGCCCTCAGCATGTCCAGCAGTCGGCTGACTCCAGAACTGCCTCTGATGCCTCCTGTGTATGAAATCTAAAGTAGAACTTCAAGTTGTATTTTATGATGATCGGTCAGCGCAGCCTAAAAAACACATTTTGAATTTGACATTAGGCTCAGTACAGGAGTATATGATGCCAGTCCTAGGACTTGAACTCAGGGCCTTGCATGCACACTTGGCTTTTTACATTCAAGGCTGGTGCTCTACCATGTGAGCCACAGCTCCACTTCTGTCTGCTTGGTGGTTAATGAGAGTTTAAGAGTCTCACGGACTTTCCTGTCAGGGTTGGCTTTGAACCGTGATCCTCAGATCTCATCCTCCTGGGTAACAAGGATTAGAGGCATGAGTTACCGCCCCTGGCTTGAGAGTTTCACCTTTTGATTTATATTGTACCAGCCTAAAAGGACCTCACCAGCCCTCTAAGAAGTCAGCTACCTCTGCCGTTACCTGCTACCGGGTTTGCCTGCCCGTGGGGCCCGCTGCCCACTGCACAGAGGAAATCCCATTAGAGCCTCGTTGTGCTCCTCTCTGTGTTGTGACTGCCTCCTTCCCCTGCAGAGCGGTTGCTGCTGAGCCTGCTTATTTGGAAACAACAAACCTGTGTCTACCCTCAGGTGCCCTGGATAGGAAGTTGCTCCCTCCTTGCTCCAGGAGGCCCTTCTGCAGTTTATTTTCATGTTTTGCTGCAGTAAAGTAATGGTTTATTTTGGTTTTCTCCCCGTGTTTCCCTTGCATTCAGTCGTGTGCCGTTCATTCAGGTGTCTTCCATCACTGCTTGTTTGCTGTTGTATATTTGAAATGGTCTTGCTGCACAGCACAGGCTGACCTCCAACTGTCATCCTCTTGCCTCCCATGCCTCCATCACCTCAGTGCTGAGATCAAAGGCAGATGCCACTCTACTGGCCCAGCCTCCTGCCTCCGGCTGTGTCCAGTTTCTGAGCACTGAGATCATAGACCTGTGCCACTATGCCTTGGTGTTTCAGTTATGCCTTATGAAATAGATTCAGAATTTACCATGTGAATCTTTTGCTTAGGTGAGGATCTCACATCTTCTAGGATGACAGGTGTGAGCCACCAGCTTGTGTCTCCACTTCTTTGTTGGTGAACATTCAAGTTGGTTGTTTGCTGAGCTGGGCGCCAATGGCTCATGCCTATAATTCTACCTACTCAGAAGGCTAAGATCTGCAGACTGTGGTTCAAAGCCTGGCAGGAAAGCATGTGAGACTCTATCTCCAATAAACTACTCACACACACAAGCTGGAAGTAGCACTGTGTTGGAGACCTGAAACCTGCCTGAGAATGCTCTGGCCTTTTTCAAACACCTGATTAAACCCTGACAAATAGCCGTTCTCGGAAATTCCAAGGTGTACATTTAGATTAACTTCCTAAAACAGGCTGGGCCGGTCGATTGCAGAAACCAGTGGACCAAGACCCTGCCCTGACTTCACCGTAAAGAAATTTCCGTCCACCCCTCCCTTCCATACAGTACTTCCCCTTCTTTCATTATAAAAACCTAAGTTTCTCTGCCAATAAATGAGACCTTTACGCGACTCAGAATGGCTCTGTCTTTCTTTATGCGCTTGGTCTCGATCCTCTCTCGCCCCCCTTGGTTCTTTTAGGAGGTGCCCTCTCAGATCCCCCACCAAATTACCTGGCCTGCTGGACGGGTCAGCACTGTGGCTCAAGTGGCAGAGCATTAGCTTTGAGCAAAAGAAGCTCAGGGACAGTGCCCAGGCCCTGAGTTCAAGCCCCAGGACTTGGTGTGTGTGTGTGTGTGGGGGGGGGAATATAAAAAAGTCTGCAGAGCATCTTTTGTCTTGTCTGGGGGGCAGACCCACACAAAGTCCTTCAGGATAGAGATTTGGCCGTTGATGCCTGGATTGCGCAGTTGCTGCAATCAGGTCTGACAGCTGACATCACCTGCTGTAATCTTGGCTGAAATATCCGTGAATTGGGTCCTGGCCTCTAGGGAAGTTGAATCAAGGTACTGAGCTTGTGCTTTTATGGAGGCGGAGAGAGAGGCAGGCTGGAGAGCTGGCTGCGACTCCACCCAGGAACACTGCACCTTTGAACACATTTCAGTGGATTGAGTAGTCCCTGCTCGCAAGGCATTAGAATCGTTTGGGCTGACTTGTGCCAGAATGTGGTTGTCTGGAGGGGAAACCACGAAGTCCCCATGGGAAAGCTTTCAAGTCGTAAGGAAGCCACTCTGTAATGGCCCAATAACTGGTCCCCTGGGTGGCCTAGTACTGTGGCCCACACCTGTATTCCCAGGTACTGGAGATGGGCAGGAGCTCTCTGGAGCTTAGGAGTTCTAGGCAACACAGACTCCACTTCAGAAAAGAGGGGGCTGTGTTTGGCCGTATAGCTCAAGTGGAAGAGCACTTACCTGGCTTGCTGAAGGTCATGAGTTCAATCCCCAAAATATAGGAAAACAAAAAACAAAAGCGGTGTGCTTGGCCAGGTGCCTCAGCAGGTGCCATGACATGTGGCCCCACTTGACCCCACCTGGGAGCATCTGGCTCCCCAGTTTTTTTTTGGGGTCCGGTCGTGGGGCCTGAACTCTGGGCCTGGGCGCTGTCCCTCAGCTCTTCAGCTCAAGGCCAGCGCTCTACCACTTGAGTCACAGCGCCACTTCCAGCTTTTTTCTTTTTGCTTATGTGGTGCTGAGGAATCGAACCCAGGGCCTCATGCATGCAAGGCAAGCG